AACTGCACGATGATTGTGTTGACCGTGGAAAGCGGGATTCCCCAATTCTGCGAAATTTGCCGCTGACTTACTCCACCATCTGCTTGACCAACTATCTTTCCTCTAACAAAATCTGACAATTTGAGAGAATCTTGAGTTCCAAGCATGTTGTAGCATAAGATAATTAGTGTGCGGACCATTTTCATTTATATAGTGCTTTGTGAACACAAATTAGTTAGCATAAATCAGTTAAATGACGAAAAAGTAGGTGTCTATTTACTTGTGACCACTCAGTTAAGTCTGTTAGATTCCACTTCTGAAAAAATTCTAGCTTAAAGATGTTTAAGTAAGTAATTTTCAAAAATAAAGTGTAGGATTTTAAGAAAAAGTTACGTAGAGCGAGTTACTTGTAGAAGTTAAAAAAATGATGAAATCCTTTCTCAGAATTAGAGTAATGTTGTGAACTTTGGTCTAGTTGTCTAATTATAAGGTTATGAATTCAACCAAATGGTTTTAATGAATTTTATCCACTTCTTTGGAGCTTATTTTGAGAAGACCTACTGATCTGCTAGTTAAAAATCCTTCCTTAACTGAACGTTCTTGTTAAAAAGTGAGTTAAAGTTTATTGTATTTTTAAAGTTATATGCACGATTTGATGGTATTGTTTCTAATGAAACTCTGAATTAGATTACTTTTCGTGATCTAATTCATTTGTTATGATTAGTAGCCTATACAATCACTTAAGTGTAATTATTAATAAGGTACTAATTTTTGTATTTAGATACTAAATATATTACTCTCCAGTAAAACAAAAATCAATGAATAATTAATAATTAGGCTTAGATGATCGTATAGGTTTCCAATCAGGTGAATTGATATCCTCTCAACATAACTTAACCATAAGTATCTGATTAACTTTTTTAAAATATAAGTTTCAGTCTTCAGTTACTGTCCTTTTCTTCCTTCATTTTTATTATGTTGTAGTGATTTTGTTACCGGTTTTCTTTTTCAGGTTCTTTATTCGACACCTTGTTAAAACCCAAGTGTTTTACTGGGTTGTGATTGCGCTGGTGTTTCTTAACACCGTATGCGTAGCCATAGAACACTACAACCAGCCGAAATGGCTAACTGTTTTTTTATGTAAGTACGTACGTATTTCAGACGTTTATGTATTATAAGATCTTGTTAAAATCCAATTGTTTTATTGGGTTATGACTGTACTGGGTTTCTTAACATTATAGGCGTATCCATACAACACTGCAACCAGCTTATCAAGCATGTAGTTATATCAGACCTAATGATTTAAGTTTAGTGCCTGTTGTGAAAAGTAAATTATTATATGATATGTAACCAAGACCCAAGTTGACTACAAAGGAAAATGTTTCATTTAATTTTCAATATGTGAGATATAGTAACAATTCGTAAAAGCTCGAACATGCATTCATGTTGTAGCTTAGAGTTTCATATAGGTACTCACAAAAGACACTTTTGTTTTTACGTGCTTCTTTTATTTTTTAGAAAACTATTATATTAAAACGTTAATGAATCTGAAAAACAATCGATCTATTTATAATATTTATAATCATGAAAACTTTTATAAAATATTCTTATTTTTCCCATGTGTCACAAAAGTTATACTCTTTGAAAATTCCTTTTTTATTGTAAGTTTATTAACCTCTATTGGATAATTTCCTGTACTTTTTATTGGACACAGTACTGTATAAAAGCATCGTGTCTAATTGTCATTTGTTTCTAATTCTTACGTCATAGTTTCTCGTTTTCTAATTTCATTGTTTTTATTTAGATTGGACAGAGTTCGTTTTCTTGGGACTCTTCATCTTTGAAATGTTTATGAAGATGTACGCCTTAGGCCCCCGAATCTATTTTGAGTCGTCCTTTAACAAGTTTGATTGTGTAGTAAGTTCTGTTTTTGGCATTTTGTTATGTCATATATAATTATTTTGCCTCGAGTAATGTCACTTTCGGAGATAGTTTAAATGACGGTTTATAAAAGATCTAGAACAAGAAGATTTTTCGCACAATTGTTTTTTCAGCAATGTTCGTATATTTGTGATACACACACACATCACATTTTGAATTGTGTAGTATTATAAATGGAGATTAGTTAGGATTTTAAGTGTATACCTCAGAATAAAGAAGTTGGGTAAGAAGACACCCAAAAGGTTACTTGTTACAGCTTTATCGATATTTAGTGCTTTAAGCCATAACTTTGTAGATGCACCAGATCTGAAAGTTTTTGAGCCGAACCTCCCTTGAGTGTATGAGTGGACAGTATTTTAGTTTTGAACACAGAAGCCGAATTCTCGTCCACTTCAACGCTCCAGAGAGATGCAGCACATAGAAACTTCAAACTTGGTGCAGTAAGCTCTGCCAGCAACTTCTCTAAAATAACAGCGTTATAGATACTAAAACGGATATGTAATGTCATTGGTGATGAATAATTATGCAATCTGATTTTTCTTTGCAGGTCATTGCAGGTAGTATATTTGAAGTTGTGTGGTCCAGTGTTCGAGAAGGATCATTTGGGTTTTCTGTTCTTAGAGCATTGAGGCTGCTCAGGATATTCAAAGTCACCAAGTAAATTAGTTTTTTTTATCTTAAACTTTCCCATGTAACAAAAATGTTTCAAAAACTATATTTAATCTATTTCTGAGAAAAGAAGAAACATTATGGTTGTCTTATTCTTAACCGTGTGAAAATGAATTGATGTGAAACTAACCATTTAATATTTGTTCAAGTAAAGTTTGTTCAAGTATTTGTTCTTCCATACATAGTTTATAAACAGAAAAAAAGGGAAGATAAATGTTTAACAACTTGCATTAAAGAACTTTCAGATTTGTGAGAAGCTTTTATAAATATGGAACATAATTGGAAGTTTGACGAAATACTTTGGCATAATCAGGGCAGTTTTCAATAAAATTCAGTTAAATACATTTAATATATTTTATCAGGATTTTAAATGGACTTCTTATAAATAAAACACTGAATTATTCGATAATTTAACATTCAACACATTGGCTATCCTGTTTGAAGTAACATCAAAAAACATAATCTAGGATCAGAGTCAAGATCTTGGAAAATGTCTCAATAAGTTCAAAAGTCGATTAAAAATAATTATTGCTTGTTTCATTCTACATAGGTACTGGTCATCTCTCAGAAACTTGGTGATATCTCTCCTCAGTAGCATGCGGTCCATTATCAGTCTTCTCTTCTTGCTCTTTCTTTTCATCCTCATCTTTGCTCTTCTAGGAATGCAGTTATTTGGTGGAGCGTAAGTTATTCTATGTGTTTTAGCTGTAACATAACTCGGAGCGTAAGTTATTCTATGTGTTTTAGCTGTAACATAACTCGGTGCGTAAGTTATTCTATGTGTTTTAACTGTAACATAACTCGGAGCGTAAGTTATTCTATGAGTTTTAATTGTAACATAACTCGGAGCGTAAGTTATTCTATG